AATGCATGAATGAACTTAAAGCAGCCATCAGATCTGCATGTGAGAAAGCTCACTGTGAAGATAATGTTAGCAGTCAACTGCAGTAACTTAAGAAAAAGATGAGTTGAGTTTGAATCTGGGTAGTGGCAGATATGAATTAAAATATGTCTATTCAGCACAGATACATACAGTTAACATATATGTTTAATATAAATATTGGACATATGATACATATTATAAAGAAAGTGCTTAGATAGGGCTTTGTATCTAGTGCACATTTGTCAGTTTAATTATCACTAACACTTGTTCCAAAATGGTGCTCTCCTCTCCCTCTTCCAGCAATATTTGTGGGCTAGCTTTTCTGTCCCATCGATCTGCCTGTCGTTTCCTGTTCCATTAGCTCACTATCTTCATTATTAGAGCTTTTCGCTATGTTTTACTAGCCAATAGGGTAAGTCCCTTCATGGCCCCTCTTCAAGCATTTCTCAGATGTCCTATTTATCTCTATTATCAGGCTGGCTTCCTCAGAAAGACAGACCTGGAGGTTGGCCAAGAATAAACCTGGAATTATTGCTCACTATGAAGCTTATGGCTGTGATGTCCCGATTGTCCATACCTGTCATCAACTTCCACATGCTGTAGCATCGTGGGATGTCCCTGGGACTCGGGGCTGCAGAGACCAGCTGACACATGCTTGTTCACCTGAAGACAGCCGCGTGACATGACGGACTCTCGGGCTGTGTGTGTGTGTGTGTGTGTGTGTGTGTGTGTGTGTGTGGTTTCCCCATGTTGGGCTGTGGTTGCTGAGATGCTGAGATGATGGGGAGCTTCCTGAGTAGACAAGGTGGCCCCAGGTTGCATTTGGTGCATCTCTATCTCTTCCGGAGTGTGTGTTTGTTGTGAATACCATCCTTATTTCTGAAAAAGAATAATGCCAGCTACACTGTGACCTGGGAAGACTTATTATGTCGTGTGAAGGGAGGTGGGAAGGCAGCTCGGAGTTGATTTAGAACCTTTGCTCTTTACTTTGCCACCACTATGGTCCCTTCGGAGCTTGGGCCCAACAGAAGGCCGATGTGGGCAGCATGATTGACTCTTGCTGAGCGAGTGTCAAGCACGTGCACCTCCAGTTGCCAGACCCCATGGGACAGAGCTGCTCCGTCACCCACATGAGATGTTGCGCAGAGATTAGGTGTGGACTCCACTGCACTGGAAAGGAATTCCTAAAATTTTGAAAGTGGAGGTTCTTTTTGTTACTTAAGGTTTGTAAAGTTGCATAACTATTTGAGAAAAAAAAATTTAGAGCTTCACCTCCCAGCATATATGTAAAATCACCTCTCCATCACCATGCCGCTTTATTAGTTGCTTTGTGTCCTAACCTAATATGGGCTAGGGCAATTCCCCATTTTTATTCTTTTACAAAAAATGTCTACATTTTATTATCTCTGTGTTTGTGTTGGTTAATTTTAGAACCTGTTCTTATGTTTAAAAAAATCCCATTTGGAATTACATTAAGCCCATACATAACATTATTTTGTTTAATGTCATTTTGTTAAAACGTTGATGAAATGTCATAGAAAATTAACTCTTGTTCATTTCAATTAGCTTGTGGTCAAATTGGTTTTGTTATATGTGGTTTCCCTTAAAGACACAGATCCTATCTCTGACATTAAGTGAGGGCTTAATTTTGTATCATCATAACATTGCCTCTTTTCATTCAGAAATATCTCTCTCACTGCCAATTTATATATATATATATTCCACTTAGTAAAATTTTGTAATTTTCTTTCTATGGTTCAAGTTCTGTATTCTGTATTCTGTATTCTGGTTGGTTATGGCTGAGATACAAAACACTGTTAGCACGTGAGCCTCTGCATGCCACAGCCCCAGGCATCCTGCCCTTTCAATGCCCTGGAAGCACCTGCTTCACTGACGTGGCCATCCCCAGGGTCACAGGGGCCCATTCCACTGCCAGGTCAGATGGCCTTGGCCAGGCTTGCTTTGTGTATGACATTCATCAGTGCAGACATTCTTCTTTTTGAATATAAATATGCTAGAATATGTCCTCTTAGCTTTTCTCCTATTAGATTTTTTTTTCTCTCCTGGATTTTTAATTTTCTTTCTCGACCTCATTTTGTAACAAATGGTCCCAAATTCAATCTCCAGATTTTATCTCTTGTCATCCATATACTCAATAGTTTTTAATGTGTCAGGCACCGGGTGACCACATCCCTGCCCATAAGGAGAAGGCCTAGAAGTCTTCCCATGGGGCTAGGGAAGATGTTGTATCTGTCAGGATCCTGCAGGAAACAGATGGCACACTCAGAGGGGTGAGTGAAGAGATTTAGCAAAACCGTTTACAATGGTTTGGGGCAGAGTTCAGGGAAATCACCAAGGAATGACAAAGAATGGTGAATTTCTCTAGGGCTGGCAACAGAGGAGGCAGGAAGGGCTGAAGGGGGCAGAGGAGGGAGCAGGTGGCATAACATGGGCTTAGCTGTGACCCTGGGTTGACCTGGGGGAGGGCTGCCTGATTGCAGCTGGGTGAGGAAGGTGCAGCCTCTGCCATACCTCTGCCCAGCCTGGAGGGAGCTGGGGGAATAAACACCCTGACCTCTCTCTCTTTCTATCCATCAGTCTCCTTAAGGTGTTACCTGTTGGTTGAACCCAGCCCAAAGCAAGGGAACCTTGATGCTGTCTACACAGGTCTCTCTCGTGGGGCGTGCAGCGGGGAAAAAGGTGGAGTGGGTAAGGAGAGAAACATGAGGGATACTCAGTGTAGGTGCTATGGGACAACTGACCTCAATTTACTCTTCTTCCTTTTATCCTCAGCTACCTGTCCAATAACACCCCTCGGCTCTGCAGCCTTCAGCTAAAATGACTCAGGAGGCAGTGCCTGATGTGGAAGAGGGAATCAGGAGTCCTCCCAGGCCTGGTGCGAGACCGCTCCCTCATTCTCTTCCTTCTTTCCCTCTTTGCTGCTGCTTCTTCCCTTTGCCAAATACGGCTTCCATGCCTACAAGTTCATATGGTCTGCAGCGGCTGCAACAGCTTCTGGCCAAAGAGCGAAGGGTGCTTTCAGAAGAGAAGTTTCCCTGGTTCAGGAGTCATCCAAGCCTGCTCCGGTGGCAAGTTTTCCCAGTGAAGTGAGCCCCACTGGCGAACTTGAATTCTTATGTATCTTTGCCAACAGTTTCTTGGAACCTCTAAGTAAACACATTAAAATGCCAGTAAAAATTTTTGCTGCTTTGTTGAACCTTTCTGGCAGATTAAATTGGGGGGAAAATGGGAACACGTAGACCACAAAACACATAATTCATAGTTGTCACATCGCACCGTGAGGAGTGATCTTTTTGAGGCTGCTAAGTGGGTGCCTTTCATAGTGGAGGAAATAATGACACAGGAAGGGGAAAAGCATCTCACTGGGAACCATCATTCCCTGTGTGTCCTTGGTGGGAAGCAAGCATTCCTAGTCTTTATTCCTATGCCACTTATAATAAATCCCCTCTCCGGCCTCCTGGCCCGCACTGGAAAGGCTGCTGCTGGAAGCGTACTGGGCAAGCTCAACTGAGATGCATTTTAGCTCTGAGGTGGTATTTAATGATTTGGGATTGGAAGTTGTCTCTTTAGACTGGACAAAAGAAATGCTATTATATCAAGGGAAGAAAAAAAGTGCCAAAAACCACACGGATGAAATAAGAGGAAGAATCAGATGTTTTCCACTGAAACCACTGAGTCAAGTTGAAGGCCAATCTGCCCTATTCCAGTTGTTTCCTTCTTGGCTCCTGGGCTCCATGCTGGCAGGAAAACCACAGAAGGCTGTCTGTGGCTTGTGAGCAAAGGCAGCAGGTACTGGGAAGGGAAAAGAGAAACCCAGGGTGAATGAATAGAAAGAAGTACATAAAACAAGGAGAAAAACCCATTGTCAGTGGTCTGGTCTATGCAACTAGAGGCCTAGGGCACAAAATTCGTGCACAGGTACGGTCCCTAGGCTTGGCCTGTGATCAGGGCCATCTTCCCCGACTGCCTGCAGCTGAACCCGCCCCCTGCCGCCACCCATCCCTGGTTCCCTGTTTGCCATTGGGCAATTGGAGACTGACGGCTGGGGGAAGGGACCAAGAGGTTGGCCGTTCCCGCCCACTGGCCAGCCCTGTCCCCGCCACGGGTTGCCCTCTGTGTGTGGGACAACCAGCGGGGCAGGGGCCTTGGCCTGGCACTGCTCATGTCCCCCACCACCCACCCCCAGTTCCCTGTTCGCCATCGGGCAATCAGAGCCTGCCGGCCAGGAAAAGGGACCAAGAGGTGGTCATAGTGACCACCTCATAGTGACTGGTCAAGCAGTCATTCTGGTCGTTCTGCCTTAGAGTCAATTTGCATATTACCCTTTTATCATATAGGATAGTTCACAGATTGTTTGAATCACATATATGTCAGGTAATAATTATATTATTTTTCTGAACTTACGATCATTTATTTACCATTCATCATGTTTTTAAAGCTGGGTTCTTTTTTCATACAGAATTTTCTGGATATAGTGTGTGTGTGTGTGTGTGTGTGTATGTGTGTGTGTGTGTTTGAAGGTTGGAAGGAACATTGCATTCTGTCTCCATTACCTTCGGATGGTTAAATAATTCATCCATCCTTCTGAGCCTCCATTTCCTCATCTCTAAAGTGATCATGGTCATATCTACCATGCATGTCTAATAGAAAAATGGATATAAAAGCATTGAAAACAACGAAAGCCTAAACAATCCCCATCACTGGGTGGAGAGAGAGGGGTCAAATGGGTTTATGAAGATAAGCAGGAAGCTTAACCACTTGATCCATATTGAAACGTTTCTGTAATTCTTTAAGAAATTCTTTAATTTCTTCAGTTCCTCGAAGTCTTGAGCTTCCAATGAAGCTTTGATGACAGAGCATGCATATAGAGCAGAGAAGAAATGAGCTTCGAAGTATGCGATTCCTACCCTAGATTTGGTCCAAGTTGCATGAGGAGTGTGGTCAGAGAACACTTCCTGAGTGATGTCTGTCTTTCTCCTTCTTACTGCTCAGCATTCCCCCCACCCTTTATCATGGCTACTACCCCCTCCATGCCCATGGTGCCAGGTCCAAATATCAGGCCTCCTCTGCCATCTGAACTTCCATTCTCGTGTGTTCCCCTGAGCGTCTGATCCTATGTGAATGTCCCACGGTTGCCCCATATACCAAATGCAGAGAATGGAACTCCTCTTCTCAAACTTACTTCTGTATGCCCATCCTTGTGAGTGGGTTCACCACCCACTCCTGCCTCTGGAAACCCCAGGCTCATTCCCTTCTTTCCTCTCTCTCATCCTTACACTTGTCTGTCTCCTGCCTTGTGATGGTATCTCTTAAGTATTTCTCAAATCTCACCTCTCCTTTTGATCACCACCACTTCCTTAAAGGGGACCCCTCCCATCCCTGTGTGGGCTGCTGCAAGTGCTCTGGATCTGGTCTCCTTATCTGTCACCAAGCTCAGGTCTATCCTCCTTTATATCTCCAACTATATCCAGAACCCAGGTCTATCCTCCTTTGCCAGCCATGGAACCTCAACAAGGTCACTACATTCTCAGACTCAGTGTCATTTGGAAAATAGAGATGATTGTAATGCCTTCCTCATGAGGTTTGTCAGCAGATTAGATGAGACAATGATAGAGTTTATGTAAAGAGTTTAGCAGAGTGCCCAGCACATAGTAGATACTCAATAAACAGTACTTTTCATTACTGTTAGTGCCGGCCTGTCCGCGCACTATCCACTTTCCAGGTAAAATTCCTAAATCATGCCTCACATCTTGTTACTTGCTTTAGGCACCTTGTTATATACGGATAAAATTCTAAACACGAGAAAGCTAGAGTTGCACAATAACTTTGTGGGCCCTAGGATCTTTGGTCTTCATGGCCTTCTTCCTCCATAAAAATATTGTAAATTATATTATGTAACTGCAATGTTATGATTTTAAAAGAAATTTAAACATGTTCCTGGGCCCCCCAAAATATTGGGGGCCCTAGGCACTGTCTATTTTTCTTCCCCCTCTCCCTCCTTACCTCTTACTCCTTCCTTCCTATCTTGCTGTCTTTCTTTTGTGTGTATTCATTCATTTTTGTTCTTTTGTTTATTATTGCTCTTTGGGTTTTCTCTCTTCTTTTAATAACTCCTTAGGTTAGATGCTTACCTCATTAATTATCCATCTTTCCTCCCTTCCATTTAATATATGCAATTACTTAGTTTCTTCCAAGTATTATTTTAACACTATCCTAAAAGTTCTGTCAGTTTCACCCTAATGGCACTATGGTTAATTATTTGACTCATGAATGTTTTAGAAGACTTTTTTAAATTACTGAAATGTGTGAGTTCTTTGTGGTATTTTTATTATTGGTTTCTGTTTTTTTTTTTTAAATTGATTTATGTTCAGAGATTATCTGTAAGAGAGGGTGAGACTTTTCTGTAGCCTGTCAGTTGTTTAAATGTCCCATATGCCCTTGTAGGGAACATGTACCTATTAAGAAGCCAGGTGCAGGGTCCATTAGATCAAGCTTGTCAATTTTGTTCAGTTCCTCTGTATTTTTGCTAAATTTTTGCCCTTCTCATCTGTTAAATACTCAGATATGTATTAATATTTCCCACAATGATTGTGCTTTTGTTGACTTTTCCTTGTAATGTGGTCAGTTTTTGCGATATGTAACTTGAAGCTATGATGCTAGGCACATGATAGTTTATAATTCTTTCTAGCTTCCCGGGAGATTGTTACTTTACCATTATGTAGTGATTTTATTTATCCCCATAAGCCTGTTTGCCCTAAATCCTCTTTTATCTGATATTAAGAGAGCCACCCCACCTTCCTTTTGATACGTATTTGCTTGGTATATATTTGCTCTATTAATTTGCACGTTTTTTTCCTTTTTATGATATTCACAGAGGCCCGGTGCACAAATTCGTGCAGGGGGGAGGGGGTGCCCTCAGCCCAGCCTGCACCCTCTCACAGTCCCGGAGATCATAGCGACCAGTCAACCAGTCATTCGGTCGACTGGTCGTAATAGTCGCTTAGGCTTATATATATATAGATTATATTAATTTTATGTAGTTTCTATAACAATTCCTCACAATCTTGGTGGCTAAAAATAATAGAAATATATTGTCTCGCAGTTTTGGAGGCTAGAAAATAAAAATCAAGGTGTTGGCCAGGCCATGCTCTCTCTGAATGTTCCAGGAAAGAATCCTTCCAAGCCTCTTCTAGCTTCTGGGAGTTGTTGAAAGACCTTGGCATTCCTTGGCTTGCAACTGCATCATCCAGTTTCTGCCTCTGTCATCAAATGGTTTTCTTCTGTGTGACTATCTCTGTCTCTTTTTCTCTTCTTATAAGGACACCAGTAATTTTAATTTGATTACATATACAAAGACCCTATATCCAGATAGGTTCCCAAACCAGGTTTTGGGTAAATTGGAACCTTTACCTTCATAATTAAAAATTCTTATGAAACATTTAAGGTATAAAAAAATCTCATGTCTTGTGCATGTATAAGCCCTATTACTCCAACCTTTTGTTAACACGAAATCCATCCTTCATCTCACCCCAGCAGGTACAGTCTCAACTCAGATTTTAACTTACCTCTGGGAGTTTCCCTTTCTTTCTTACAAGCTCTGCTATGTATTTAAAATATTTTTAAAGTTTCTAAAAATATATTTTTATTGCTTTTGGGGAGGAAGGGAGAGGGAGAGAGAGATAGAAACATCAATGATGAGAGAGAATCCTGCCTTCTGCACGCCCCATTCAGGGGATCAAGCCCGCAACACAGACATGTGCCCTGACTGGGATTCAAACCGTGACCTCCTGGTTCATAGGTTGATGCTCAACCACTGAGCCACACCCGCTGGGCTTAAAAGTCTTTTATTCAGCATTTCTAGGTGCTTTACTGGAAACTTTTTATGTTGTTTTAGCCTTCCTTCTTGATGGAAACAGAAATATCTATCAAAGTCAGTTTTTTATAGCTTTATTGAAAATTTTCACATAGCATCTCGTCCATGCACTTAAAGTGTACAATGTAGTGAGTTTTAGTATGGCCAAACAAATTTGGCCAAACATCACCACAATCTAACTTCAGAACATTTCCATCACTGAAAGCCACTCCATGTGTTAGTAGTCACTCCCCATTTCCTCCCGTAATCCCCTCAGCCCTAAGCATATATTAATCTATGTTGTGCCTCTACAGATTTGCATATTCT